GTTAAATTTTTATTTTTTCAAAATTTTTTTGTTATATGGGAATAGGAAGGGAAAAGAAAAGGGGGAATTATGGGAACTCACACCTCGTATGTGAGAATTTCACACCAAATCCATGTGATTCTATTTTAAATGAAAGTCTCTAAAGTGGGTGTATTCAATTGGGACTTTTGAAAATTTTGATAAACTTTTTTTAGGTGATGACTTTTGTGAATTTCGTGGATCTTTTATAAATTTGTATGGAATTAGTAGATGTCTTTCGTAGATTTCTATTGACTTTCATTTTAAAATTTCTATAGATTTTTGTAGAATTTGAAAGATTTTTGAAAACTTTCATTTGAAATAGAATTCACGTGGATCTAGTATAATAGTGTGAAATTCTCATTTGCGAGGTGTTAATTTTCACAATTCCTCTTCTTCCCATAAAATAAAAAAAATTTAAAAAATAAAAATTTAAGATCTTAATTAAATAATTAATAATAAAAATTATACATATATATGATTCAATATTATTAATATAGTATACTTTTAAAAATAAATTAAAAAATTTTAATTATAAATTTTTCATATAAAATTTTATAATTTAATAAAAAATAGATATTTTTCCCAAAAAAATGAATGAAAAAAGAAAAAAAAAGTGACAAGAATCCAATTTAAATTTTCCGTAGAAAATAGCAATAAATAATGAGAGAAAAAGAAAGATAAATAGAAATAAATATAATCAATAGAAAAAATAAATTTTAATCATACAAATCCATAAAAATTTAAAAGAAAAAAAGATCGAAAAAAATTGTGAAAGTCTCCCAATATCTCGTGATTAATGAGTGGCAAATTTTAAAATTTTATATGAGTACTTTCTGTTTAAAAGTTAATATTCTAAAAGTCATTAAAATTTGAATATCCCAATACTTATAGAGACTTCTAAAAAGTGTTAATTGAATACACCGTAACTTTTAGAAATTTTTTAAAAGTCTATAAAAGTCTTAATTAAATACACCGTGACTTTTAGAGAGTCTCAAAAAATCTCAATTGAATATCACTAAACCTTTTAAATCCCAAAAAGTCATTAAGAGTGTATTTGATTACATTTATTTTCCATGAAAAATATCAGTTTTCCATCTAAATTCCTACTTTGAGTGTTTGATTGCTATTTTTTTCATAGAAAACATTTTCCAACTTTTGAAAATATGCCTAATTTTCCTTGTTTTTAAGGAAAATATTTTTCTTGAGTAGAGGTGGTTTTTATTTTTCACAAAAGATGGAAAACATTTTCTTTTCTAGGTAATATTTTCCATGCCATAAAATTTTAATTGAATACACCCCCCTAAAAGTTTTTTGAATTCCATAAAAGTCTATAAAATTTTTAAAATGAAAATCCTTAGAAGTTTACAAAAAACTTCTATTAATTCTATACAAATCTTTAAAAGATCCACGAAATCTACAAAAGTCATCACTTAAAAAAATCCATCAAAGTCTTCAAAAGTTCCAAATGAATACACCCCCTTATATTTATGGAAAATCAAGATCCCTCTTCCACATGCAGAAAACACAAGAAAATTGAACTCAACAAGAATTTCTACGCACCTAAAACTATCAAAAATAACATATTCTCCATAGCCACCAAGGATAAAACTGTGTGACGGATTTGCATGACTTTCAACACAAAGACAGAAATCTGATTCCAACTTAACCCCTAGCTGCCATGACATCAAACTGTAAAGAATGACGACCAGATAGTCGACCATGCTGATGAGAAACTCTTGTGTCTCTGCCATAGGCGGCATGACCGTGTATCTGAGGGGCGTCCAAGACATATTTGTCCTTGCAACCGAGTTGGCTGAGACGCATTAATGCAAGCATGCTGAGAGCAACCAAAGCAGAATTCCCCATTATCTTACCCAGGTGATCCAATTTGAGGGACTTCGAAACAAAATTTAAACCGGAGAGAAGAAAATTGACAAGAACATTTGACCTCGTTGATTCTTGAGCTTCAAAGCTTCGACCAGAAGGGTATGCGCTTGGACCATAGAGATTTTCTGGTGAAATGAATTGACCAGCATCTTGCACAGCACCCACTAAAGCTTGTGCTTCTTCAATGACTTTATACTTCTTACCTTGATGTTCAGCCAATCTCAAGGCAAGAACAATACGACTTTGCTCTAAACGAGCAATTGCAGCATCTCTCTCACCCTGTTGCTGTGTTTGTACCATCTATTAATCATAAAATAAAAACCCAACATCAACAATCGTTTTGCAGAGAAAGATCAAAACAAACACAATTAAATCGTCGTACTTGAAATAGGTGTCAAATGACTGCCACATAATTCTGATTATATGTAGCACTGTTTCTACAAACAAACTACAAAATGTCTTAACCTTCACACCACAATAAAATTCAAGAGTACATCCTACATATAATGATTCCTGATGTACCAACTTTTGGCTAAACTCGACCAGTATATCTCGAGGACTTAAAATGTCTTCCCTTGCAATTTTACCATTATTGTGGTCGAGCATTGGTCTCCTCAGGACATGGTGCTCGAGGATGGATGGTCATGTGATGCTCACATTCTGTCATTTATATCCTCGAGCATGTGTAGTCCTAGGGAATTGATCCTCCTTAATGACCCACAACAGTATGTACTTGGGACTCTAACCCTACTCTACTACTTCAATATTTGACCCCTGTAAGGACTCTATCCTAAACATGATTTCGGTATCTGTCTAACTCCTTCACCTAACAGGATTCTATCGGATAAGAACATCCACCCAATTCCAATTCTATCAGGAATGTACAACCTACCCCTATAAATACAAGGCATGAGACCATTGCGCGGGTACGTTTTTCATTATTTTTCCAATATATAGCCAAACACATAAGTTCCCTTTTTCACTTTAGCATCGGAGGGGCGACGAGAACACAACTCTTTGCCTTTGTTTCAGGTATCGAAAGACTGCGATCATGCTCATTCAAGGTCATCAAGCTCGAAAAATCATCAGTTACAATTTTTGGTAACATCAATTCCAATAACATTTTTTTTTTCATTCTCAAAAAGTAATTAAAAAATAAACATACAAATAATTGCATAAGCTTCGGATAATTTTCGAGCAATTAACATCCCATTAGACAAAGCATTTTTGAAATTATAAGCTGGGGCATTCTGTGAAATGTGGAGTAAAAAGTGGCAAAAGTGGTTGGTCCAAACGAAACGCGTGGTAAAAATGGCCAGCTTATAATCTCAAAAAAGCTGTGTCAAACAACAGGAACAGTAAAAATAAGTAATATTCTTAAAATATTTTCCTATTTTCATTTTGAAGAACCTGTATTCATACTGTCAAAAATAGTGGAAGTTCACTTCAGGTATTACAAATCAAAGAATTTTTTAGTACAATTGAGGTTGTCCATGTTTTCATTTCCAGCGAAATTCACATGTAATTGCTCTACATTATAGAATCTCAAAATTGAACCTCGGTTTTTAAACCATACTTGTCCCCAACACAAAAAAAAAAAAAAAGAACTGCAATTATAAAGCTGGTACTAACATTTCATTGGTACTATTCTTAATTTCTTAATGGGGTAGTCAATTTTTTTAACGTAGCTGCTTTTTGGTTTTATCTGGGAGTGGAAATTTAAATTCCAGAAACATCCATAAACAAATTATTATATTTTAAACTCACATGGAAAAATTCCAGCTGATCTTCAAGATTCTCGAGCGCAGTTCGAATGGCATAGAGACTCTTGGCTTCCTGAAGGGCCAATTCATCGTCCTCGACCCGGAATTCCTTCACGAATACAAAACCCGACCCAGGATTGTTGTCGGAATCTTCGGCGGCGGCTTGACATTTTCGGTAGAAATAGGATTCACCGGAGGGGGTGAATTTACGGGGATTCTTGACCGAGTTCAGGAAGTGGGCCCAAGAAATTGAGTGAATGGCATCGCTGAGCTTGTCGTGTAAATCCCAGATTTTTTCAAGCACTGCTTCGATCTCATCTACCTCCATTTCCCATTTCATTTGGACGAAAGTATAATTCTTCAGGAGGGAAAAGGAAAGGAAACAGGTACTTTTTTAGGGCTTGGGCATTTTGGCAATTTTGTACTTGCTAAAAGAAACGTTTGGTTACGCTTATAAAAACACAGAATAATGGCATTTGCAATCCCTCACTACGACAGTCGTCTTACGTGACATACACATGACAGATAATTATTTGATACATTAATAAATAAAAAAAACTACTAAATTAATGTATTAAATAATTACCTGCCATGTGTATGTCATGTAGAGCAATTGTCGCTGTGAGCGACTATGAATAGCATTATTTATAGCAGTGGGTCAAGTCGAGTCGGCTCGGCTCGTTAACCCATGAGCTAGGTTTGGGCTCGGCTCGTTGCTCGTGGGCCGAGCCGAGCCCACGAGCGGCTCCCGAGCTCGTTATTTTTTATGTTTTGTAAATTTTTCAAATTTTATTGATAAAATTTTATTTTTTTCCACTTTTTTGGACGAGTCAAGCGGGCTCGGCTCGTTGGACGCGACCCCCCGCTTGGCTTTGACGAGCCCGAGCAGCCGACGAACCGCAAGTCGGCTCGGCCCAATTTACATCCCTACAAATCCTCTAAGGTAATTTGCTAAAATGTAGTTTATAAGTTTATTTTTTATTTTTTTATTTAATAATATCATCAACATTAAGTATTAATTACAAATAATTACCTATTTATTATTCACTCATTTTTGAGATACACTACCATTTTTGCTAAAAAAAAATTACTAATAATTTTACATAAAAAGAGGCTATTTAATTTTAAGACTAGTCTCGGACAACAGGCATCAAAATTTCAAGAAATCTCAACATATTTTATGGGTGGTCACCTTCTCATCTTTGACAATAAATACCAATCTGCCAACCTACATCAACTCAGTGACCATCTCCCTTTATCGAATGGTTAAGCACATTATATAGAGCCTATATTTTTTAGGGTTTTATTATATTTTTAAGTTTGGAACTTCGATCAATATAGCTCGAAAAATTTGACTTTACTTGAATACACATATAAAATATTTTACGATAGAGGAAAGCGCATCGTAAAACACAACTTTAAGAACTAATTGAATCGTGATATTTTAATCTTATAAAGGTGAATAAGCAATTACTAACGAGTAACGGCAATAAAACGCTACAAGATAAACATGTAAACATTCTTATATTTATAGTTTCCAAACAAAAGAGAACCCAAAAATAAAACCACTTCTTGTTCAAGGATCATTACAAGATCACAAAGTTGTCCAGCTCTTATTTCGTGGGGTAGCAGAAATTTAAAAGCACAACCTATTA